GTCCAATTAAAAACAAAAGAGTCACATAGCTGCTTCTCAAGGAGGAGAGCCAACTGGACACTAGGTGTATGAACGGGGGCCGGTCGTTTCAGCGCCGGGGGGGGGGTGCCCACTGAAAACATCTGAAGATGTCCACAGGGGCGGGAACACAAAACCCTGAGCTCTATCCACAAGGTTCGTCGGTTGGCTGGTTTTTATTGTGGAATAAGATTCCGTTGTATAGATGCCCTGCAGTAGGCTTGTCCGTTCACTCGCTGAAGGACCCTCGAGTCATTTCCAGCTTTTATAATTATGACAAGAGCTGCTGTAAACGTTTGCGCACAGGTTTTGTGTGCGTACACACTTAGCTTCGTAAGCAACTGCTGAGCTGTTTTCCGGAGTGACTGACAGTGCCCGGGAGTCCCGTTTCCCTGCATCCCGGCCAGCACTGAATGTTGGCACTGCTTTGCTTTTGCTACTGCTTTTTTGTTTTTAAACTGAGGTACAGTCCATTTACAATGTTGCATTAGCGTCTGGTGCTCAGCATAGTCATTCGGTTATACGCGCGCGCACACACACACACGTATATTCTTTTTCACTATAGGTTACTATGAGGTATTGAATAGAGTTCCCTGGGCTGGACAATAGGGCCTTGTTGTTTATCTATTTTATATATAGTAGTTAGCATCTGCAAATCCCAAACTCCCAGTTTACCCCTCCCTCCCTCCGGTCACCGTAAGTTTGTTTTCTGGCTGTGAGTCCGTTTGTCACTGGCTTTTAGTTGAGCCATTCTGACCGGTGTGCAGGGCTGCCTCATCGTGGTTTGACTGCATTTCCCGACGGTGAGTGGTGGTGCCCGTCTTCTCTGTGCTTTGGGGCATCCTTCTACCTTTGCTGAAGTGTCTGCCTGCCCGTGTTGTAGTCAGTCCATCCTTTGCTCGTTCCGCTGGCTTTCCCGACAGCAGGAGAGATGCTGGCAGGTCCGGGTACTTGTGCACAAGAAGGACGCCCTCCCTGCTGCACGTCACCTCCCCCCCACCCCCAGGCCCCGAACACAGCGACTCTTCCAGCAAGAGCAGGGCGCCCCCCACCCCGCAGCCAGCACAGGCCTCTAGGTGGCGCGCCTCCCGCCAACGGAGACCATCTTTTGGAAATGTTTACAAGGCGGATCTGCTTAGGCTGAGGCTCATACAAAGGCGTGAGCGTTGAATGTAAATGGGGCAAAAGTTATCTTGTGCCAGAAACTGGGATTTCCCTGCCCCTTGTGCATAGTCACATTCAGGAGCCCTGAGATAGAGCGAGGTCCCCACCGAGTCCGTCACCCTGGACCAGACCACCTGTGACAGTCCCTTGTCCCCCAGCAGGGGCCATGCCCCTCTCTGGCCCCAAAGGGACGGGGTAGCAGGGGTCATGATGGGGACAGTGCTATGTGGCTGGAGACTGAGTGGACAGGGGAGGAAGCTTGGTCAAGAGCCTGGACACCTGGACGGGGCATGGGGATGGTCAGCGGGGAAACCTCAGCCAGGCGCCAGCAGCAGGGCCCAGAGGCCCTGGACAGGAGAGCCCTTCTAACTGGCAATGCGGGGCAGTCACGGCTCCATGGGGGCGGGGTGGGGGTAACTGGGACGGGAGATTCCTGCTAATTGGCAGTTACAGCTCCTTGGGGGGTGGTAATTGGACCTTGGAGCTCCACGTCTGTGCACGAGGGGGAAGGAGCCCATAGCTGTTCTTCCTGGCGCCTCCTTTAAACCAGCATCACTCAAAGCTCAGCTGGCCACCTCTCAGGACCCCTCAGGCTACCCCGGAGGCCGCCACTCAGGGGTCAGTGGGCAGAGAGGAGGGGCTCCTGGCCTGCGAGAGGCCAGGAATGCCTGCAGTTCACCACGTAGGTTCCCGTGGCCCCCTTCCTTTGGCTGAAGTGTCCGGTCCTGCAGCCTCAGGACCTGGTCCCTCCAGGGGAGTGGTGGGAGCAAGGCCGGGATCGAGATGCCCCATCACCACCACTATCCGCTGGCCCTGGTCTCACAGGTGGGGACTTCCTCCCTCAGTGTCACCTCCCTCCCATCCGCGTGTCCAGCATCCTCCCCCTCTGAGCTCTGAAGCTCCCCACGGGGGGCTCAGGCATGACTCCCACTGCCCGCTTTGCCCCAGGGAGCTGCCCCCGCCCCCCGCTGACTCTGGGGACCTGGGAGAGACCCCTGCCGAAGGTCCTCTTGTCCCTGCTCTCTGCCCCAAGGTACTCTCAGGGTGCTGCCCGCCCTCCCTGCGCCCTGCATCTCGCGTGGTGTCTCCGCAAGTGGGCGCGGACGGACCTTTCAGATGGGGCGCTTTTCTGTGTCTGCCCCGGTTTGCTGCAAAGCCGGAGCTGGAGAAGGGCGCACAGGCTGCTGCTGCCTCCAGACGCCCCCACTTTGCCCACACCCCCATCGGGGGTGCCCACGAGGCTCAACGAAAGGGGCCTCTGCCTGGGGGGAGGGCTGCTCCCACCGCCCCCCTCCACCATCCTCCGCACTCCACTTCTGTTCTCCCTCGTGTAAACTTCCACTCAGTCCCTCTTGGATGAGGCCAGAGATGAGCTAACACATGCCTCACAACGGGGAAGTCTGAGAGCTATAAGGAACACACAGGAACGCGGGGAGTCACTTGCCTTAATCACACTGCTCCAGCCCAGTGGACTGGGGGTCTGGGCGGTGTCCATTCTCCGACCCAGTCTTGGTGCCACCAGTCCCCCTGAGCTGACTCCCCGGGCAGCTGTGGCCCCAAACTGCCACATACGGTGCCCACACTACGAAGCCCAAGCTCCAACGTCTCCAACACCAGGCTCGAATCCCAGACAAAACCCAAATCCACCCCCACTAGCAGATGATCTGGGCTGCACACCTTCGGTCTGAGCTGGACTCTGTGCGTTTGGTGATTTGGGGCGGGGACACGTTCTCAGCTGCACCTTGTGCTGGTTCCCTCTGCCCCCCGGCCCGTCCCTCTCCCGCAGATCACGCCTGGGGCTGGAGCGTGGCCCTCGACGCGGCCGCTGGACATACTGGAAGTTTACTTGCATGTTATGAATGTTGTTCACTTTTCTGTCCTGTTCCTATTGAGTCCTGTTCCTTCCACATCCTCGGTGTCTCCAGAATCAGCTCTCTGGTCTCCACCCTCGCAGACATCCCCCACAGCCCTCGTCCAGGCTGTGTCTCCGCGCTCCAAGTGATCCTCACCTGCCATCCCGACTCCGTCTGCTCCATCCTCCACGTAGCAGAGAACTGGACGCAAACCCCCTCCTTCACTAGAGCCTAGATTTCATGAGGGCCGGGGTCTCGGGCTGTTCTCTCTCCCCACTGACCCCCAGTGCCCTGAAGCAGTGAATGCCCGGTGGTGGGCACTCAGTCGGATCAGGAGGGTGGGTAAGTGGGGAGCCCTCCCCGCCTCCTCCGTGAGACCCGGACATCATGGCCTTGTTCACCGGGTCTCCCCTCAGACCCAGCACATCCCAGAGCTCGCATCCTCCTCTTGCTCACAGACGTGCTCTCACCTCTGCACCCACGCCCTGAAACCTCCCTTTGGGGGGCATCTCGTAGCAGTGCTGGGAGCCCAGTGAGCCCTCGGGGGGCATCACCTCTGAGACCTGACAGACGACCGAGTTCGGCCGGTGATGGGGCGGCAGGGACCCGAGCTCAGCAAGGTGCTCTCAGGGCCCGTGGTTCCTCAGGCAGGGTTCTGTCCTTCATGAGGGGACAGGGGTGAGGAGCAGCAGGGGGTCTGTGCTCAGGACAGCAGGCAGATGGGGCTGGGAGAGGGATTTGCCCTCCGTTCCCTGCTGCGTGGAGGATGGAGCAGATGGAGTGGGGAACAGCAGGCCAGGACCACCAGAGTGAGGAGCCTGAGCCTGAGCGAGGGGCGGCTGGGCAGAAGCCCGAGAGGACGGACACCGGGAGCCGATTCCGGAGACGCGGAGGACGCGGACGGCACAGGACCCAGCCGTTGCTCAGCCGGCGGGTGGGAAGGGCGGAGCCGGGCTCCTGGCCTGGGCGGCGGGGGTGGGGGGATAGCGGTGCCCTGGCCTGAGGTGAACACCGGGAGGGCGTGGGCTCCGCGGCCAGCGGGGAGGACTCTTGTCATTGGCTGGACACGTGATCTGCAGAGAGCCGAGGAGGGGACGGGGCATCGCAGGTGGAGACTCGGGGTGGGTGCCTTTGCCGAGTGAGGACAGTG